GTTCTAAGCACAGGTATTTTCCAGAAATTGAATGAGTGTCAGTGTTTAAGTTCAAATGAATTAATGTTAAGATTAAAAAGCCCGTCTCACTCAGCCTGGGCGCCGTGCTGGTGCTTGGTGACCAGGCAGGGCTGGGGAGGGGGTGGGGGGTCTGAGGATGGTGAGCGCCCTGTGGAGACGCGCGTGCTGGTGATGGACGCGTGCAGAGCCCACCCACATGACTCCAGGGCGGGTCCCTGTTACTGACCGTCACAGGAGGTGTGGTTCCGCCTGTGGGTGATTGGGCTTTGAGAGGGAGTGTGGATGAATAATGAGTACCCCAGCTCCCCAGGAGTTCAGTCTCATCAGCCAAAGTCAAACGTGTTTAACCCTGCAAATATTTGGTAATTTAAGAAAAAAAATACCTGAGTGGTAATAGCCACACAACACTCTGTTTAAATACCATAGTGTAGAAAAGCCTGGAGAGACAGCTGTACTTGCAGCTCCTTAAACCCAAGTGCTACCCGCTTCCCGTGAAGCTCTCCCTAGTGATTTAATTTTGTTGAATTAAATAGTAAGTGTGCAGTTAGGGTCTATGCTTGTGGAAAGTCTGGTTGCCTCCTGCACACCTCCCAGCGAGTCTCATCATGTCCACCGCCCACTCACTCATGTACCAAGCCTTCTGTGTCCTTGTCACACTGAGCAGCGACCCCCGACCCCCTCCTAGGTGCTGCAGCTGAGAACGTGTCCTCTTCTGCCTCCCTGACCACCTGTCCGAGATCTGAGCAAGGCCTCCGCGTGGTCTGCTGGCCTCCAACCCCCCACTTTCTAGTTGCCCTCCATGCTGTCACAGGAGCAATTTTTCTGAAATAAAGTTCTGCTCGTCATATTTCTGCTGAAAAGAAGCACCCAAGTTGTGATGTTTTGTGTGTCTTCCCCAGCTTGCCCCTCATTCTGACATAGTGACTTCCTGCCCCTTGTACTAGAACAACTCTCGTTCCTACCCGGCACCCCTCCCGCCCACGGAGACCCGTAAGCCTTGCCCGATTCTGCGAGGCTTGCTGTGTAGCTGCTCCCCCCTGTGGCCTTAACCCCGACAGTGTAATACATGCCTCCCAGGCATCTAGACACGTCTGTAATCTGTACACTGCTGGGATAAAGCTCAAACAACACAAACCATGAATGGGACCACATCAAAATTAAAAACTTCTGTGTATCAAAGGACACAATAGAACGAAAAGGCAACCCATAGAACGAGAGAAAATATTTGTAAATCATATATCTGGTAAGAGGCTAATAACCCAGAATATATATAAAGAACAACTAAACAACAATAAAAAAATGATTATGAAATGGGCAAGGTCTTGAATAGACATTTCTTTAAAGATGTATAAGTGACCAGTAATAAGCACATGAAAAGTTCAATATCACTAATCATTAGAGAACTACAAATCAAACCCACAATGGCATGCCGCTTCACACCGAGTAGGGCGGCAGCTATCTGAAACCAGCCAGCCAACAACAATCACAGGCGTTAGGGAGAAAATGGACAAATTAAAACCTTCGTGCGCTGTTGGCGAGACTGTAAAGTGGCTCAGATGCTGTGGAAAACCACATGGACCGTCCTCAGATTTGGATGGCATTACCTAACGATCCGGGCACCCCCCCTCAAAGAACTGAAAGCAGGGTCTCCATGAGACACCCAGACACCCATGTTCATAGCACTATTCATTATAGCAACCAAACCCCGGAAGCAAACCAACAGTCCGCTGATGGGACGTGCTGCGCCCTCACTGGAATGTCACCCAGCCATTAAAAAGGAAGGACCGACACCTGCCACAACACGGATGGACCCCGAGGACATGACGCCGAGCGAAAGGAGCCAGTCACCAAAGGATGAAGACTGATTCCACGTCCACGAGGGCCGAGGGGAGTCATTCAGAGAGAGAGCAGCGTGTGGGTGCCTTGGGCTGGGGGCGGGCATGGGAGCTAGTGTGTCATCCGGGCCGAGGTTCACTTTGCAAGATGAGAAGAGGCTTGGAAATGTGCTGCCTGCTGCTGCAGAGCAGTGTGGATACACTCAGTGCCACCACGCTGGCCGCTGGCGAGGGGCTACCGTGGGAACTAGACGTGTATTTCATCACGCACACAGGGAGACATGAACACGAGTGAAGGCTGTGAGTTGGTGAAGAGCAGGCTGGGAAGAAAGTCTATTGTGACTTCACTCTGATCTTCACTGAGCTCTCATAAGCCAGGTGTTCAAGTCCCTAAATCCACATGTAGAATTAAATTACAAGCAGATGTGTCAGTGTGTGTGTGTGTGGTGGGGGTGGGGGGGGGTGGAGGCATTTTTCTGTGGCTTCTATTACATCTGAAAAGTGTTTGACCCAGAAAAGACTGAAGATTTACTGTTTATGTATAAAATCTTAGGCAGCTTTATTGACGCAAGATGCTTCCCCACTCACAACAGAGCTACTGGCATCTCCTTGGCACAAAAGGCCCCTT